TGAAAAACTTTGCAAAGGAGCCGGACTGGGGCCAGACGGAGGTAGGCTTTAGCGTCCGCCTAAAGCCCTGTGTGAAAACGCCCTTAGAGAGTAGCCACCATGTAATCTACAGAATCAAGGGAGGGAGAAACTAAAGACATGCTGGGTGGAATCCAGAATCATCTACTTACAGCCTTATCACATGACAAAAGAAAGCCCAGCTGAGCAAGAGAAGCAGCTTTCTCCTTGCTTCTTAGAATGCTGTCATCTGTTTTCTTTCCCAAGGGAGGCAGTCATAAAAGAGTACCTTTTGCCAAACTGATGTTTCCAGCTCAACAAAAACCATACTTTTATGACCCTTTCCTTTGGGAAGAGAATGGAAGTGCTTCCATAGCATGTGGAAAGGCAAGGAGAGAGCCACTTCTCTTTCACTGTATCTCAGTTTTCTTTTGTCATGGGATAAGGTTCTTCTGGCCTGACTTCCTTAAACCTGAAGGAAGTATCATTCAACTGTGCTTTAATCAGAAGGGATTTCCTCTTCCCTGTGCAACTGAATCCTAGTAAAGTAGGCTAGAGTGTTGATCAAGTTATGATCATGGATATGGTGTCAAAATTGTGATTAAGTAGAAGTCATGAATACAAAATAGTTACCTAGATTTATTCATCTCTAAATGAGAACCAGCATGGTATAGTGGTTTGTGTTGAAACAGTAAGACTGAAAAGACATAATAATAATAATAATAATAATACACATAATATTTATCTATTTCTGTTAAAAGGTAACAAACAATGTGCATAACAAAGGTATTCAAAACAAATAGGGATAAAAGATACAACATGAACAAGTGCAACAATGGCAAGCAGAAACTACATTGAAGCAAAGTAAAACAAAATAGTGCAAAGGAAAAGGGCTAAAAGAGAAAGTGAGTCACAAAAGAAAGCTAGCCTTATAAAGGCTCAGCAGCTGATGAAGATAATACATAAAGCTGAAGGCCATTTCTATCTCAGCAGCTCACCATTGACCCTATAATGACCAAAGTTCTAGATCTTGTCTGAATTTCATCAGTTTGAGTGTTGGACTACAGGATTTGAATCCCTGCTTGGCCACAGACCCTAACCCTAACCCTGACCTTGGGCAAGTCACATTCTTTCAGCCTCAAGGGAAGGCAGTGGCAAATCTCCTCTGAACAAATTGTGCCAAGAAAACCCCATTGTAGATTTGCCTTAGAGTTGCCATAAGTTGGAAATGCCTTGAAGGCACACAACAATGCAATAATTGTTATGTATTCATGATCACTACTTAGTCAGCTTTGACACTACAGTAGCCCCTCCCAATTCATGGGGGATCCGTTCTGGACCCCCCCCCCCCGCTAAAATGGCGGCTTGCAAATATTCGAGCGCCATTGAAAATAGTGGTGCATGTGCCCATGGCATATGTGTGGCATGGACATTTTATCACTACCTGCTTGTCCCTCCTGCAAAGAGTGAGACCGTGGACAATGGAGACAATCTTAACTCCTCACCACCACCTGATGGATGGGGAGACAGAGGTTCACTCTACTGGTTTTGGACCACATTTATGTCAGGTGTTTTTTATGGGTTTTTTAGAAGGAGTCAGAACAAGAGAAGTTGCTACCTTTGACTACCATTTCTCCCTTCTGTGATTTCCCTTCAATGTTTAAGTGTAGACTATATCATCACTGGAGACAGGAGCTTGTCTCCCTTCCCTATCTATCCACTTATGTTTCCCTGTACAGAGATGGCACCATATAAATTTCAAACATCAATAATTGCAGTGACCTGCTGCTTTCCTTGATCTCCTCTTCCCTGTGGGCTGCACACTAGGTTTTAATTCTTGAGTCCTGCTTTGTGAATATAACTTCACACATCTCCAATTCCTTTTATTCTGCAGCACCAAGGACCACTCGATTAGATCCCCTGTGCAACATCCTTGTCATCATCCACTTTACAGAGCATAGAGGTGACGATCCGGCATATCCCTCCCCCCATAAAAGCATTTCCAAAATGTGCTCTTTAATCTCAAGATAGGGAAGAAGACTTCTTTTTCCTGTCCAGGGAATGGAGGAGAGACACCCCTCTTCCACCCTGATGCAAACAG